TTTTATTAGTTTCATTATTGTCTTGTGATGGTCTCCATGCCTCCCTGGCTGACCTAGTTTCAGGCCATGTGTTTGTGGTGCTGTGTCTCCCTCTCTTCTGTCTGCCTGGCCCGAGCTCATCTTGGCAGTTCTCATCTCCCGCCCGTGGCCCAGGCACCTGGCCTCATCAACCACCTGCCGTTGATCTGTCTGATTGCCTGAGCCGCTATTTAAGATGGCGGCTCAGTGTTCCTTGTTTTCGTTTTGTCAACTAAAGCTCATTAATATCCTCCAGCACATCAAGCAGTGCTGATGTCATTAGTCAAATGTAATCACAGAGGTAGTAATGTCTGCATGCTCAATGAAAACATTCCCTTATGCAATCACTTGTAGCTCTTTTCAATCACATATCTGATTGTCACATTCTACAAATATCCTGTCACTGTAAACTAACATGAGATAATATCATTTGGTCGAAATAGTCCCACCTCGTTCAGAGTTATATGAGGTTAAATCATGATTCAACTTCCTCAAAGACGAATGATGTAATGATCTAGCCATTAAACTAAACCAAAGAGGTGGTAATATTAATTTTAATAGAGACTCATTTTGGATATTCTGTTTTACGAGTCTGCACCCTAGAGGTATGAATGAGAATTTTTCTATCAATGAGTTTTTGTGAACTGTACCCTTTTTTAATTCTTTTTTACCAGTTACTTTGCTCTGTCAATCATTCTCACACGGGTAATGTCTGTCTATTTATCTATTTCTATTTATTTTTTCAGTAAAAGAGGGAGTAACATTCTAGATGTCTCGTTTTAAGTCTAAATTTGAGAGGCATAAATGAGGACCTTTCCACAAATGTTTATCCATGTGATGATGTCCTCTTGTTTTTAAATCTAACTGCTGCACTGACTTCTTTTTGAATTAAATGTTTTTCTTTGTTATCATTTTTTGTATATTTGTAATATTCTTTTTATGTATTTCATGCATGTATTTTAAGACAGGTGTGGATTATGTCTCCTCACCCTGTCTTCATCATTATTGACTTAGTCCAGTATTTACTTGGGCTTGACTTAACCAATTAACCAATACTAACCCGGTATATGTCAGCTGGTTCAAACCTTGAAAGTAGGTGAAGTTGTGCCAGAAATGTTTGCTGTGGTTAGCTCATAACTCAAATATTTGAGGGTGTGATTTGAGAATGAGGAAGTGATGGAGTAGAAAAAGATGGTGGTGGTGATTAAAATAGCTGGGGTTTTAAAAGAAGCACGTATAAGCAGTCCCATGACCAAACACACAACCTTTGAAAGCAAAGACAGAACATTTGTACACTTTCAAGACACAAAAATGATAGAAAGTGTGCGTTTATATCTGTTTACAATCTTTGTTTAGTGACTTTGTGTGGAACAGCTCACTTGTCTCACAAAAGTATTCATGTTGTACCATCTGTCTGACCCTCTCTTTGTGTTCATTATCAAAGCCAATTCATTAAAATTCATGAACTGAATTATGAATCACATTTAATACACAAACAGCTGGAAGAAATAAACACAACTCGATCTGCTGTTTGTCAAACCAGGATGACACTAATCTCACATATTAACTCTTACAGACAAATCAAGCACATAAACAGTTTTCTCCAATATTTCTGCGCCAGGGGAGAAAATTTGAAAGTAAAGCCTAAAAACCATCACCAGGTTTGATCGTTTCCCTTATTTGGTTTGAGATTTCATCTTTAGTGTGGATGTACAAGTGTGTGTGTCAGAGTGTGGTCACAGTGGTTAGCACTGCCTCCTCACAACAAACTATATATCATCAAGTATATGAAACTAATTGTTGTCTACATTTATGGTTAAAATGTGTCTTAGTACTTAGAATGGTCGGTCAGACTAGTTTGCTTTTGGCTGTTTGTCTCTCGGGCGTTTGGCGTCCAGTGTTGTTTCTTGATTGTTTCTCTTCTCTGACCTAAAATTTTGTTCCCTCATCTCTCTCTGTCCTTCCCTTTTAATTTTATTTTCTCACCAACCTTGTTGCTTCTTGTTGATAAAGAGGAAATAAGTGGTTTAAGTATAAATAACAGGAAGTGTGTGGCACAGTGTGACAGAAATAGACGTTTAGTACTTTCATAGAAAATTCTATTATTGCGAGGAGAATCAGTTGAGTCTACACCGTTCTCACATGCAGCCTGAAACTCTGACTTCCACAGAGAAATGATGCAATTGATGACAAAAAGATAATAATGACACATCCCCCACAGTCTGTATTTATTTCCCAACTTTACATCATTAACAGCACTGTAAAAACAAACTGGTGCAACTGCTGATGATCTCAATCCTGGAAAGCTGGTTTGTGTGTCAAACTCACAACATCACTTTTGATTGTTTTCATGTTATGTGGGACTGCTGACCAGTTCACTCCCTGAGAAACCGCCCACTATTCTGACTGGTAGAGAACGGTGGATCGACCTGTCCATGTGGTGACACAGTTAGCTTCATAAGTATTTGTGCATCACGTTTTTTGTACTTTTGTCTCTGTAAACCATCACATTCAACTGTAAATATGACAACAATTAAGATGTGATTGAAGAGCAGACTTTAATTTGAAGAAATTTCCCCGTGTGCCTCATTTCCATTTTAGTATCAGCTTAAATTCACCTTCACTAACTGTGCTCTGAACTGGTTTAAATCAGTGTCTATCACTACATCAGCAGTAACAACTGAATAATTTTCAGACACCTGTGCCGTTCGTTTTTTCCTCTGCTCAGCCTCATGTCCAAGTGCAGAGCCTTCAAACTCTGCATTGGGCTGAATGAACTGTGTTCAACTCTGTGCATCATGCTACAGCATGGTATAACACATTATCTCAGGTCCACTGAGACACAATGCATTTCACTGCTGATGTGAACTGGTAGATAATCTGTCGAAGTCGAAGACCTCCGAACAGACGAATACTGTCACAAAAAATGTGAGACTTTCATCTAAATAGCTTGGTTTAAATCCCGAAACCCAAAAGTAATCACATGATTCCTTGCTAATTTTTAACAATTTTACAACAAACATGTTCCTCACAGAGCTGATCTTTTTTTCATTTTCATTTTGCCTGATAAGTGGAGGATCTACTTCACCAGTCTGTGTGGTTCGGTCACAGTCAGGTCGTCTGGACACTTGCTGAACTTCACAGCAGAATACTCACAGGCAGAGGAGCTGGGTTGGAGTATCACACTGCCAGCTTTTTCAGACCTCACTTGAAAGTTGATGGCAGCGTAATGTGGTGAGGCAGTGTGGTTTATGGGATTATTGGCACTGATGGAAATCGAGTTCACTGCATTTTCTGGGTTCTGGAGGTTCTCCTGTCTCTCCTCACAGATACAGTCCTTCAACAATAAGCAGAAAATGAGTTTATGTCTAAACACTATCCATAGAAATTGTTCCTATGTTGCCAAAAACAAAAAATATATATATATTTTTTACAATTTTTTCTACTATTCAGCCTTGAATAACCATCAGCTGATATTTTTTTGTCTTGTTGTGAAGTCTGAAATGATTCCAAAATTGACGTTTTGCAGACATTGGAGAGTTTCCATTGTTGTCTAGACTCACATGTCTTTATATTATGTTTATAATGAAAAAATAAAACAAACAGTTACAAGAAGAGTGAGAGATTATTGAAAGCTAAATCACTGGGGAGACTGAATCTCACAACCTTTTTCCACTACAACCTATTCCATTGACCTAACAGCACAGCAATTATAGGATTATAGTGTAACATGATGACTTGGAAAGTCCAAGTAAGCAAAGTTCACCATGTAATAAATAAGAATTTACAATAAACCTGCAGAAATGTCACAAACATTAAGAAACAACTTTAACATCCGTCTGTCGACTGTGTAGTTCTTGCTTCATAAGGAAGACGACAGAGCCTTTAGCTGTCAGGCTCCTCTTCTGCGAAACCAGATGAGGGCTGGATTAGGTGACCCTCAATCCTCTCCCAGTTATGCTGCAGTAGGTGTAGGCTGCGGGGGTGATTCCCATCATGCATTGAGTGTTTCTCCTTCAGTCAGCTTTCTCACTCACTATGTGTTTATACACTTCTCTGCACTGAATCATTACTTATTATTCCTACTCATTGAAGCTCTCTTCCACAGCATGTCTTTTGTCCTGTCTCCCTCCCCTCACCCCCAACCACCTGTAGCAGATGATCTCCTCTCCCTGACCATGGTTCTACTGGAAGTTTCTTCCTGTTAAAAGGGAGTTTGTCTTTCCTACTGTCGCCAAAGCGCTTGCTTATAAGGGGCCATCTCATTGTTGGGGTTTTCTCTCCATTACTGTAGGGCTTTATTTTAATATAAAGTGCCCTGAGGTGACTGCTGTTGTGATTTTCAATTCAATTCAGTTTTGATAAATAAAAGTAAAAAAAGAAATAATTTCATCACGAACCTCTTTGACATGACGTCCTGCTGCACCATTTCCTAAAATAGCAACCAAGCAGAATTATTTATTAGTAGTTCATAGTTTGGTTTTAATGTAAATCTGGTTTAACTACGAATTGCCAAAGACCATTAATTTAATGAAATAAAAAAATATCTTGAAACTGCGAACATTCTTACGTTTGTAGATGAGGATCAGTGCTATCAGAAACAGCAGGAGCACAGCTACAGACACAGTAACACTGATTATAACCTCTAAGCCATCTGTAAAATAAAAGAAAGACCAAAGAGAAAATATTAACCCACAGGTTTGTTTTTTAACCATCCAGAAGGTCTCTATTGAGGAATTTTACAAAAATAAAGTTTGAAAAAATTAATGATGTAAAATACTCTAAAAAAAAATATTGAAAACACTGAAAACATTTCAGAGTGATACATTAAAAAAACAACATTTTTTCGCAGCTTTTTATAAACTGGACCTCGACAAAATACTTAAAACATGTCTTACTTTTTCCTTTAACGTCACAATAAAGTTATTTTAAAATGATCTTCAAATGTTTCTATTACAAGAAAAATGTTTTGTTGCAAACATATTTATAATTTCTAGCATTCTAGCATGAGTGGAAAGGGGCTGTAGTTACTCCAGTCTTTAAAGGAGGCGAGCGTGACTTGATATGTAATTATCGTCCAGTTTCCATACTCTCTGTTCTTTCAAATGTGCTTGAGAAGGCTGTGGCAGCACAGTTAATTGATTACTTAGAGACTAATCAACTGCTTCATCCAATGCAGTTTGGTTTTAGACCAAAATTTTCCACAGAAATGGCAAATTGCTATTTTGTTGAAAATATTAAGTGTAATCTGGATAATGGTAAAGTTGTGGGTGCAGTGTTCCTTGACCTAAAATAGGCT